TTTTAATTCATCAAAATATATTGATTAATTCAAAAGTTATGGGCTCCAGAAAGCCGCTGTCCAAAAAATTACAATCTTTGAAAATTGTCCGCAAGCAAACATTTTTGGCAATATCTTTAGTATTTGATGAGTTATCATAACCAAATTAAATCGGCTCAAAATTTAGACCTTATTCTTTCATAATTACCGCCATTCATAAATATTGATTGATTTGTTCACAAGTTATGGCCCCTAGAAGGTTAATGCGCAAAAAATTCCAGCCTTTGAAAAATTAAACAATGTGTAAATATCATTCAATAACTCTGGAACTTGGTCAGTTATCCATACAAAATTTTTGTTCTGTTAAAAGATTACAGTTTCTTTTATATGAATTATCTTTTTTCAAAATAATATATTGAGTAGTGCATAAGATATGGCCTGCAGAACACCAAAGCGCAAAAAATGCAAACCATGGAAAAATTGAGGCATGTGAACATATTGGGCTATAACTCTGGTGTTTGGCAAGTTATTTCTGTAAAATAAGTTTGCAATTCAAATGTAAGAAGGTTCCCTTTCAGAAATTTTTTTATTTTATAAGAATTTATTAAAAAGTTAGGAAGCCATAGCTTTCATATAACATATACGAACGAAATTTTACAATTGAAAATATTTTGGTACTTGTATGATTTTGAGGATATCTCTAGTATTTAACCGAGTATTCCAATAAAACTTCCTCGATTTGAAACATAACAAAATACTGATCGAAAGCAAGTTATTTTATAAAGATACACTGATTATTCCTGAAGTTATGACCCTCCGACAAGTAAAGCGCAAAAAGACGGTCGACTTTGAAATATTGCGTCGTGTGAACATATTTCCAGATATCTCCACAATTTTATAAGTTATAACAGGTTAAAAGATTTTTATTGGAAGTTTGGACACTTCTCTTTAAGAATTGCCTTATTAATTAAAAATATGTTGATGAGTGCAAAAATTAGAGTCTCCAGAAAGCCAATACGGAAATAATCTTAAAACGAACATGTTTTGCCAATTGAGTATTTTTGGGCTATATCTTTGGTAATTGAATAGAGAGAATAGAGAATTGAATAGAGATACAACTATATAACCTTGTGACAAAATAAATTTAATATATTTCAAAAAAAAATGCAATTCAATTAATAATATATTTCGGTTACTGAAGCAGTTATGGCCTCTGGAGATTTAATTTGGAAGAAAATTCCAATTTTGAGGAATTTAGGCAAGTAAATATGTTTCCAAAATCTCTGTCTTTTGATGAGATATATGAATGTAAGTTACAATGATTAAGCTACGGCATATTGTTTTTACAAATTAAGCGATTTTATTAATATTGAATGCCAATTTTAAAAATTATGCCCTCCAGAAAATCAACGCAAAACAAAACCTTAAAACCGTAAACGTAACTCCAAACACCTGTAGCTTTTTAGAGATCTCTAGGTGCGTGTAGCGATAATTTTCGATAACATCACAATATGCATTTGAAGTTATCGTTTCAATGTTCTTATTACTTTTTGAGATAGGTACGACCTTGCATCAACAAATAGGCAAATTTCTTGTAGACATTAAGAAAAGCCAAGGTAAAATTGAATTGAGCAATTATGGTGTAGGCGGGGAAAATCTCATCCGTTAGAATGAAATTGGTGACATTATAGTCAATATCCTATAAAAAATTAGAAAAAGATACCAATTGCGAATCATGTTTCGTTGTAACTAATTACCAAACCCCTTACCTTGGCAATGGGACACGAAAAGGGTACATTACTCTTCCTCATAACTTCATTGAATATCGCCTTAAACAAGGGCACCGGAATATTTTGTAATGCCAGCGTGTCACAAAGGTTAAATTTCACATCCAGAAATTTGACAACTTTTGTCGTCCGCTCAAGTTTATAGTGAATGGTCATAGCTATTTCAGCATTGCGGGCAATCGGGTGACTAAGTGACAAATGGACACTTATACTATAACGATTCGTGGAGATTTTCCTAAAATCACACTCAAACCCTTTAAATACTGAATTCAATCGTTTGGCTGTGAAATCGAGAACCTCAAAATTGGACATATAAATGATTCTATATTTGTTGGGATCCTTACCGCCACTGAGACCACAGAAGCCGTGACGAGAATTAAAATCATAGACCAACGAGCCACCATTATATGACAGAGATACCCAATGGATTGGTGATAGAAACAACATTTGTTTCATTTTCTATTTTCAAATTTTCTATTGCATTTTTTATTAATAGAATTTTAATTAATTCTCTTTTTTTGTGATATATAAAAGCCACACGCCTCCGATTTTAATCAGAAACCTATTAAAAAAATATTAACCAATGTCATTTCTGTGGAATGGCAATATAATAGCTTCAAAAATTTTGCGCTGTCGTCCCCCCGGGCCGGCAGCTGGCCAGTTGCCTGTCGTCTATAGAATAGACCCTCTGGCCAGCCTCCCGTCTATAGCATAGGCTCCCTGGCCAGCTGTCGTCTATAGCGTAGGCTCCCTGGTCAGCTGGCCAGCCTATCGTCTAAAGCATAGACTCACAGCTCGTCTATAAAGTCCAGCTGGCCTTCAGCGCGTCTATAAAGTCCAGCTGGCCTTCAGCTAGTCTACAAAGTAAAGCTGGCCTTCAGCTAGTCTATAAAGTCCAGCTGGTCTAAAGCTAGTCCATAAAGACCCCCTGGCCCTCCAGCTCGTCTATAAAGTCCAGCTGGCCTTCAGCGCGTCTATAAAGACCCCCTGGCCCTCCAGCTCGTCTATAAAGACTCCCTGGGACTCCAGCGCGTCTATAAAGACCCCCTGGCCCTCCAGCTCGTCTATAAAGACTCCCTGGCACTCCAGCTCGTCTATAAAGACTCCCTGGCACTCCAGCTCGTCTATAAAGACTCCCTGGCCCACCAGCCCGTTTATAGAGACTCCCTGGCCCACCAGCTCGTCTATAGAGACTCCCTGGCCCACCAGCTCGTCTATAGAGACTCCCTGGCCTCGTCAGCTCGCCTATAGAGACTCCCTGGCCTCGTCAGGTCGCCTATAGAGACTCCCTGGCCTCGTCAGCTCGCCTATAGAGACTCCCTGGCCTCGTCAGCTCGCCTATAGAGACTCCCTGGCCTCGTCAGCTCGCCTATAGAGACTCCCTGGCCTCGTCAGCTCGCCTATAGAGACTCCCTGGCCTCGTCAGCTCGTCTATAAAGACTCCCTGGCCTCGTCAGCTCGTCTATAGAGACTCCCTGGCCCACCAGCTCGTCTATAGAGACTCCTTGGCCCACCAGCTCGTCTATAGAGACTCCCTGGCCCACCAGCTCGTCTATAGAGACTCCCTGGCCCACCAGCTCGTCTATAGAGACTCCCTGGCCCACCAGCTCGTCTATAGAGACTCCCTGGCCCACCAGCTCGTCTATAGAGACTCCCTGGCCCACCAGCTCGTCTATAAAGACTCCCTGCCCCTCCAGCTCGTCTATAAAGACTCCCTGCCCCTCCAGCTCGTCTATAAAGACTCCCTGGCCCTCCAGCTCTCTCTGGCCTCGTCAGCTCGTCTATAGAGACTCCCTGGCCTCGTCAGCTCGTCTATAGAGACTCCCTGGCCTCGTCAGCTCGTCTATAAAGACTGCCTGGCCCTCCAGCTCGTCTATAAAGATTGCCTGGCCCTCCAGCTCGTCTATGAAGACTCCCTGGCCCTCCAGCTCGTCTATAGAGACTCCCTGGCCCGCCAGCTCGTCTATGAAGACTCCCTGGCCCTTCAGCTCGTCTTTAAAGAACTCCCTCTCCCTTCAGCTCCTCCATGAAGACTGCCTGGCCTTTCAGCTTGTCTTTAAAGAACTCCCTCTCCCTTCAGCTCCTCCATGAAGACTCCCTGCCTTCAGCTCTCTTCCATAGAATCCCTGTCCCCTTTAGCTCTTTCATATGAGAACCCTGCTCTATTCAGTCGCTCTTGATCAAAGCCCTTACCATTTACTTTCCCCACATTGATGCTCGAATAATTTTTGTATAAATTCTTGGAACAAGACCTCGAGATTTCTATGAACTAGAACGGTTTCATCATGGATTTTCGTAAACAATAAACAAATCCATTAATAAAATCGACATTAATGTTCTAAACGCTTCATATGCTTCTAATAGGCGTGAAATTCTATAAAAATATAAAAATATTCATTAGTTCAATTGCCTGCAAAAGAGTGCAGTGAAATGGTTAATATTTAATTATTATCAGTGGTACTGATGGAGCACGAAAACACTGGGGAACAATAATTTTTTTCAGGTATTCAAAATTCTTTTATAATTGGGTAATGATATAGTTCTCCAAAACCAATAATCCTAAAAATTATTGTCAATAATTTAAAAATTGTATTTCAACTATGGATGCTCTACACATTTGTTCCCCAGTGTAATGAGCTCATAAAAATTTCCATAATTAATTAAATCCTCATTAATTTAGTTTTTCAATTGTGCAAAGTTTTCAAACCAACCTTTTTATGGGTTCTCTTGATATTTCATTAACAACTGTCATCGGAAATTATGTATCGTTTTATCGTCGCTTGTGCAATTGCTTTAAGTTTATTTGTCCTTATTCAGGTAAGTTGTAGAAATTTTAATTCCATTGGGAATTCAGAATATAGCAAATAAGAATTTTCCAAAATTTAAAATTGCAAGAAATACTATAGACCCTCGCTGATGCTTCAGCTCTCCTATAGAGACCGGGTGATGCTTCAGCTCGTCTATAGGGACCGGGTAATGCTTCAGCTCGCCTATAGCGGCTCACTGATGTTTCAACTCGCCTATAGAGACTCACTGATGTTTCAACTCGCCTATAGAGACTCACTGATGCTTCAGCTCGCCTATAGCGACTCACTGATGCTTCAGCTCGCCTATAGCGACTCACTGATGCTTCAGCTAGCATATAAAGAGCTACTGATGCTTCAGCTAGCCTATAGAGACTGAATTTAATAGAAATGTTCTTTACAAATATAAATCTTTTCAATTTGCAGGCCTCCGGCAGAAGCTACAATTTCGAAATCCTCGCCATGAATTGTACCAAAATCGGTCCGGTATTCAAGAGAATGGAGTGTTTCTATCGCCAAGTCGACACAAATCGTTACGGTATAAGTGTCCATTTATCGGGTAATCGGCAGCTATCAAAAAATGCTGAAATCGGTATGGCTGTACATTTGAAATTCCAAAAAACCAACAAAGTTGTGAAGTTCCTAGAATTTAAATTCAATATTTGTGATACACTGGAAAAACAGAATTTACCGGTGCCAATGTTCAAGTCCATCTTCAACGAAGTTATGATGAAGAGCAATGTACCGTTTTCGTGTCCGGTGATAAAGGTAATAAGTTGAAAGATTCCGATTTTTCTTTACTTTCAGATAAAAAATGTTAATGTGCCTCTCCCTTCTCTCTCACTCTCTTTTGCAGGATTTTATTTATAATGTCACCGATTTCATGCTCACCGATAACATTTTCCCCGCCTACACCGTGCTAGCCAATTTCAATTTTACCATGACATTTTACAATGATTACAAGAAGTTTGGAACGTTGGTATTAACTGGACGAACATATCCGAAGAAATCATAAATTTTCGAATCAATTAAATTATAAAAAAAATAAAAAAATATTAAATTTTTACAAAAAAACGAGTATTTGGAAATTCATAACACCTTCAGCGGCTTGGAGATTGTTCAAACATTTAGTGAGTAAAACTCAGCTAGGCCATTATAGCTCGTCTTTATAGCTTGACTTATCGGACAGCTCAACTCAGACAACTCACAGCGGTCACTGGTAAATTTAGACTCGCTGAATTTACGGATTCCCAATGTAGGGTTGTCGAACCCTCAGTGCTTCAGCTCGATTATAGATATTGGCTGATGCTTCAGCTCGCCTATAGAGACTCGGCTGATGCTTCAGCTCGCCTATAGAGACTCGGGTTATGCTTCAGCTCGCCTATAGAGACACGGCTGATGCTTCAGCTCGCCTATAGAGACTCGGCTGATGCTTCAGCTCGCCTATAGAGACTCGGCTGATGCTTCAGCTCGCCTATAGAGACTCGGCTGATGCTTCAGCTCGCCTATAGAGATCGGCTGATGCTTCAGCTCGCCCATAGAGATCGGCTGATGCTTCAGCTCGCCTATAGAGATCGGCTGATGCTTCAGCTCGCCTATAGAGATCGGCTGATGCTTTAGCTCGCCCATAGAGATCGGCTATAGAGGAGACTCGGCTGATGCTTCAGCTCGCCTATAGAGGAGACTCGGCTGATGCTTCAGCTTGCCTATGGAGGAGACTCGGCTGATGCTTCTGCTCGCCTATGGAGGAGACTCGACTGATGCTTCAGCTCGCCTATGGAGGAGACTCGGCTGATGCTTCAGCTCGCCTATAGAGGATACTCGGCTGATGCATCAGCTCGCCTATAGAGGAGACTCGGCTGATGCATCAGCTCGCCTATAGAGGAGACTCGGCTGATGCATCAGCTCGCCTATAGAGGAGACTCGGCTGATGCATCAGCTCGCCTATAGAGGAGACTCGGCTGATGCATCAGCTCGCCTATAGAGGAGACTCGGCTGATGCATCAGCTCGCCTATAGAGGAGACTCGGCTGATGCATCAGCTCGCCTATATAGGAGACTCGGCTGATGCATCAGCTCGCCTATAGAGGAGACTCGGCTGATGCTTCAGCTCGCCTATGGAGGAGAATCGGCTGATGCTTCAGTTCGCCTATGGAGGAGACTCGCTGATGCTTCAGTTCGCCTATGGAGGAGACTCGCTGATGCTTCAGCTCGCCTATAGAGGAGGAGACTCGCTGATGTTTCAGCTCGCCTATGGAGGAGACTCGGCTGATGTTTCAGCTCGCCTATAGAGGAGACTCGGCTGATGCTTCAGCTCGCCTATGGAGGAGGCTCGGCTGATGCTTCAGCTCGCCTATGGAGGAGGCTCGGCTGATGCTTCAGCTCGCCTATGGAGGAGGCTCGGCTGATGCTTCAGCTCGCCTATGGAGGAGACTCGGCTGATGCTTCAGCTCCCCTATGGTGGAGACTCGGCTGATGCTTCAGCTCCCCTATGGAGGAGACTCGGCTGATGCTTCATCTCCCCTATGGAGGAGACTCGGCTGATGCTTCAGCTCCCCTATGGAGGAGACTCGGCTGATGCTTCAGCTCCCCTATGGAGGAGACTCGGCTGATGCTTCAGCTCCCCTATGGAGGAGACTCGGCTGATGCTTCAGCTCCCCTATGGAGGAGACTCGGCTGATGCTTCAGCTCCCCTATGGAGGAGACTCGGCTGATACTTCAGCTCCCCTATGGAGGAGACTCGGCTGATGCTTCAGCTCCCCTATGGAGGAGACTCGGCTGATGCTTCAGCTCCCCTATGGAGGAGACTCGGCTGATGCTTCAGCTCCCCTATGGAGGAGACTCGGCAGATGCTTCATCTCCCCTATGGAGGAGACTCGGCTGATGCTTCAGCTCCCCTATGGAGGAGACTCGGCTGATGCTTCAGCTCCCCTATGGAGGAGACTCGGCTGATGCTTCAGCTCCCCTATGGAGGAGACTCGGCTGATGCTTCATCTCCCCTATGGAGGAGACTCGGCTGATGCTTCAGCTCCCCTATGGAGGAGACTCGGCTGATGCTTCAGCTCCCCTATGGAGGAGACTCGGCTGATGCTTCAGCTCCCCTATGGAGGAGACTCGGCTGATGCTTCAGCTCTCCTATGGAGGAGACTCGCTGATCCTACAGATCGCCTATAGAGACTCGCTGACCCTATAGGCCGCCTACAGAGACTCTATGACCCTATAGGCCGCCTACAGAGACTCTCTGATCCTATAGCCCACCAACAAAAACTCTCTGACCCTATAGGTCACCTACAAAGGCTTTCTGACCCTATAGCCCACCTACAGAGACTCTATGACCCTATAGCCCATCTACGCTGCCCCTGCAGCTTGCCTACGGGGACTCACTGGACCTACAGCTCGCCTACAGTGATTTTGTTGACCCTTGAACTCGCCTACAGAAACTCGCTGACCCTGAAGCCCACCTACAGAGGCTCGTTGACCTTGCAGGTCGAGTATACTCCTCCGAACGTCAATAAAAACTCATTCGGCTAGCCAATATAGCTTCTTTGACGCCTCAGCCCACCTATATAAACCGGATTTCCCACTCCATATAGATTTGCTGACCTGTTCAGTTGCCGAAAAAGTATTTCATCTCGTCAAAATAACATGGTCTACCCCTTAACTTGCCGATATTGACCGACTGTCTCTATTTGCTTGGAAACATAGAATCGCTTGGCCTTCAAATCCTCAGCAATTTGGAGTCGTTGGCACCTCATTTTTCCAATATTGACATGCTGGGCCCCAGCTTGGCTAGTGTGAAAATTAACACTCTCTGACCCCTTGGAAAGACTAAAGACTCACTGAACCCTAAACAAGTCAATGTTTGACTCGTAAACGTGGACTCGCCTTTTAGATAGGGATACGTAGATCGACTTTTGATCATTTTCGAAATTTAATTTATTTGACATAATTGGAACAGCGAAAAACGGAATTTTTGCTTAGACCAAAGATTTTAAATGTGATTTATGGTTTCAACTTCTAATTCGAACCCAAAATTTCAAATTCCTACCTAAAATTCGTACGAAAAATCTAAAATTTGTTTTATTTCAACTTCCTAGCCATTCGAACTCTTCTTTGGAGATTCTCATTGAATGTGTTTATGTTTTATATTAAGAATATCCTTTAATATCCTTTTGAAAAAAAAAAACATATATTCCACACATGACATCAATTTCAAATACAAAAAAAAAACAAATTTTCCACCACTATTTTCCAACGGTACGTCCTTGCAACAACAACACAGCAAATGGCTTATTGTCATTGATAAAATTCACTATAAAATTAAAATTTACATACAATGTATAAATCGGAAAAATCGAATCCGTTAACCTGAAGTCAGTCATATTAAAATAGAGATCCTGAAAAATAAAGAAAAATCTTTTATTTAATCAGCAAACTTTTTCTCCTTATTTACCTTGCCAATGGGACAGGAATAGGGCAAATTGCTCTTTTGCAGAATTTCATAAAATATCGATCTAACCATGGGCACCTGGACGTTCTGCCGTTTCAGCGTATCGCATATATTAAATTTCGAATCCATGAATTTAACAACTTTCGTTGATTTCGGAGATTGAATGTGAATTTTCATGGCTAGTTCAGCATTCGCCGACAACGGTCGTACAAATAAAAATTCTACATTTAGGCTGTAAATGTTTTTCTCAACTTTGCCGAAACTGCACTTCAACTTGGTTATCTCAGAACCTTTTTCGATGCAAGATATATTTTGTATTTCGAAAAAATAATGCCGATTTGCTGCCTAGGATGAAAATGGAAATAGGACATAAAGCCTAGTGAGGAAAAAGCGATTGGAACAATTCCTTACCTGTGTTAAAACCAAAAAATCGGCAAGGGTCAAGAAAACTAGATAAATCCACAACATTGTGCCTCGAACGAAAGGAACGATATGATAGACGAAAAACCCAAAAGCTTTTAAAATCAATTTGTTAGCTCTGGCTTTTAATAATAAATAATTAACATTTAATAAATAATTAAAAACGCATTTTCAATAATAATTTGCAAAAATTTCAAAATAAATTGATTTTAATGCTTTGCGATTTATGCCATGTTTTAATTTATTTACAGATAGACGAGTTGGAATATCTGAAGGTCCAACGGTTAAATGTAAAGAAATGACCAACTTGTCTATAACGACGAGCTGCAGTTCCTTATAGTCGATGTATGACCTGGCGAACCAGTGAGTTTAAATTAAAAAAAAATAGAACAGTGTTGGCTTCGGGATACCATAGTATTTTGTTGTTGCAAAATGGTCAGGCTTAATCCCTTTATTGTTGTTTTTATAAAAACATAGTTTTTTTATTAGTGGAGAACGATGGTAATGTTTACCAGAGGGTAAGGCAGGGAATACCTAGGTTTCGGAAAGTACAACCAATCCTCATCAGTTCCCTTGTTTTTTGTCTGAGATAATCTACCCAGAAGTTAATATTGTCTAAAAAATTAAAAGAAAATAAGATCCCCGTTTACCACAACGGAATTTTCAGATTGTCTTAAACAAAGTAATATAGGTCCGATGGTCGGTTCAAGAGCAATGTAACACTCACCGTCTGCCTAGATCGCCCACGTAGTCTACTCCTCAGTCAATATGAATTCACAATTCACGAACCTTGAATACCCACCACCATTTGGAACGAATTTGGAAATTTTCAAAAAATAAAATCCTTAAAAAATTCTGTTAAAATTTTAAAAACACCGAATATAGCCATTATCTTGGGTTGGCTACATAGGCATTGTTTGTCATAAGCCATTACCATATTCAAATTCGAAACTTGAAATAAACGGTGAATAATGTAGCTAAAATCATAAAAATATCGTATATAGGGAGGTACCGTTATATCGGAGCTGGGCGAAGACCTGGACCAGCATAAACAATTTTCTGTCACAGGCTATAGTATCATCCATTACGAACGTCAAATACGACATCTCAAAGAATTTCGGTGGGTATTGTAGCTAAACTCGTCAA